CAAACTTGATGATTTGTTAAAAGTAGCAACCGTTGAGAAATGGTTTATCAAAAATAGCAATCATTGAAAAACAATGCATCAAGCTCTATAACCATTAAGAAATGGTTTGTTGACACCACAATCATTGAGTAATGATTTGTTAAACACAATAATTATTAAGAAATGATTTGTCAAGCTTCATAATTGTTGAGTAACGATTTATCAAATGTAATAATTTTTGTGGAATGGTTCGTCAGGCTCCATAACTATTGAGTAACAACTCATCAAACACAATAGCTATTGAGAAACGTTTTATTGAAGACCACAACCAGTGAGTAATGGTTTTTTAAATGCAGCAACTATTAAGAAATGATTCATTAAGCTCCACAGCATTGAGAAACAATTCATCAAGCATTATAAATATTAAATAACAACTTGTCAAGCACAATAATCATTGGGAAATTGTTCATCAAGCACCATAATGATTGATTAATGGTTTGTCAAATGCAGAACTATTGAGAAATAGTTTATCAAACTCCATAGCCATAAAGAAACAGTTTGTCAAGCTCCATAATTATTGAGTAACATCTCATCAAACACAACAAGCATTGAGAAATGGTTTATTAAGCACCACAACCATAGAGAAATGATTCATCAAGATCCATAAAGAGAAACAATTCATCTAGCACTACATGAGTTGAATAACAATTCATCAAACGCAACAACCATTGAGAAACCATCTGTCAAGCTTCACAACTATTGAGTAACAACTTATCAAATGTAGCAATTGTTGAGAAATTGTTAATTAAGCTCCATAATTGTTAAGTAATGATTCTCTACATGTAATGACTATTGAGAAAATGCTCTCCAAATGAAACAATAATTGAGAAATAGTTTACACATCAAATCCCATGAAAAAAGTAGTGTTTATTAAGAAACGGTTCACAAATCATATCTTGGATGAAATTCTTCTCACAAATCAACCTTAGTTTCCATAATTACTGGCAAGATCATGAGCACAAGCATCGTCAACTATTAACCCTATTTTAAAGAAAAATTATCAAAAATACTTTGGTCTACAGATACTTGAACTTCAAATAAATCAAGCATGTCATTGAAGAACTCTATTGCACCATCACAAGAAATAAATTCTTGCATTAGACAATAAAAAGTGTTATACAGACACCCCACTACTAGATCAAAACAAAGGAAAAGGTTTGTTGGTTTATCAACAGGGTTTTGGATTCAAGCTTCCAAATGATATATGTTACCAGATCAATCAACATACAATTTGATAAAGAAAGCTTTAGACCATGGTGGTGTTTGGTTGGCTGGCAAAATACTCTTACCTTTATAAATATATAACTTCTTCTATGGTAAAAAAGATGTTATTTTGAATGAGAAATGAAGTTATTGGAAAAAAAACACACACAAGAAAATAAAAAAAGTAAAGTAAAAGAAAAACAAGTTATAAGATTCGACATACATGTTGGAGATCAATTTTAGCTAGTGGCCCGCACTGTTTTTAAAAGAAAACAAAGGGGTAATGTGATTTTTTTATAGTCACACTTTACCCTATTATATGTGGACTCTTGCCTAATTAGAAGAAAACAAATCCAAGTATATACGAGAAATTTGATTAAATTTCGTGTTTATGAAAAACTTTCCTCTTAACAAATTCATCTCTCACTAGCAATGCATTAGACAGGAAAATAATTGCTAAATTTTGAGTATACAAAAATCAAGATAAAAGAAAAGGGAACTAATGTTTATCCTCGATCATAACTTATTAACTACTAGTTAGAGTTGTAGACACATTTTTTATTAGATTCAAGATGACAAAACCTTCAAAACAGGATTATACAATAACTATTTTTGAAAAAGAAAAAAAAAATCTTATAGGCAGGTCAAAATTACTAGTTACTGTTAATGCATAAGAGAAACTTTTATGATTTTCACTTTGCTCCTCAAAATTTGTAATTTACTTTCATTAAATTATAATTACTAGTTATTGTTAATGCATAAGAGAATTATAATTGTTTCAAATCTAGCAAAAAATTTTGATTCTATTATTTGATTTAATTTAATTTAAAATTAATCATTAAATTTTTAATTTTGACAATTATAATTTACTTTCACAATGAAATATATTTATAATTGTGAAAATTTAATATGATAAAATTAAATTTTAGTTCAAATAATATATTCAAAGTATAAAAATCTCTTAGCCTTATTTTTCGAGTTGTGTCCACTTATTTTAAGGCAAAATAAATTTGTCTTGATATAGCACATGTAAAAATAAAAAATTTCTACTAATCAAATTTCACTGTGTTATTTTTATTGTATTTTTTCATAAAAATAAAGTAAAATCAAAATAAATAACATGAAAAATAAATAGATCTTTATATATTTCTTGGTCAATAGAAGGTTGATATATGAATGGTGTATTTAAAATATTTTGTCATAAATACAAAATCCTATAAATAAGAATCAACTAATAAAAAAAAATATCATATGATATTAACAAAATACTTGAGTGTCTCTACAACTCTCTATAAATAGAAGGTCTCACTCTAGATAAAGAAAAAAGAATTCTTAGAGATGCAAAATTTTCTTCAAAATAAGCTTTTCAAATAAGAAATCTCTTTTAAAAGCTCTCAGACCTCCTTTATTTATACATGAAGTCTATAAAAAAAAAAACAAGACTTCCAAGCTTCTTTCATTAATACTTGAAGTTTACAAAGAATAAAATTTAATTGAATCAAGTTTAAACGCCTCATGAGAGTTTTTCAAAACACTTTAAAGATAAATCAAAAATATTTTTTAAAATATCAAATCAGCAAATCTCACTCTATAATACACACCTAAATTTATGTTCTAACAAAATACAAATTTTGACTTGGTTACCATAAATCAAATTCAAGAAAAGCATTGGATGATTGTTTTATTTTTTGTAAGAATATTTTAAATATAAATTGTATGCAGCTATATATTTTAATAAACTCTTGCTGAAATTATGTCTATAATTTAATTTACAAGAAGACGAAGTTCTATTGAAAAACAAATCATCAATAAATTAAAATGGCAAGTGTTACAATTTAGTTGGAGTTCATATGATCACTAAGAAAAGAAAAGAGAGAAATTTAAATTGTATTAGAATTTATAATATAAACTTTTTATGTTTTATAAACAATTTATAGAAAATTAGAGTTAAAAGATTACGGAACTCAAATTATATAATAAATAAAACATCATCAGAAACGATGGCCAACTCTATATGTATAATTTTATTCACAAGTTTTTTTGTGCAATTTATCTCTTTCCTTTACTGCTTTCATTTATAGTTCTTCTTTACCTTTTACTGCATTATTTGTTTTTACTTTTTTGTTTATTTCTTTAGTGCACTATGATTGTTGAGCTTGGTTTAGAAGGAGAATCCTATACTCTATTTGATTTGTTTAGTTCCTAATTATAATTTCTCCATATTGGAAGAAAAAAACGAAGAACAAATAGCATTTTATCAAGAAATCAATAGTTGGTCAGCAACTTGGTGTCAGATCGATCATCACAACTATCTGTCTATGGTCTGATACCTAGGCATAGGATCCTTGAGAAAATTCTGAAATAAGAACCGGAGTACACTATTGCAGATATGGCAACCCTCGCTGCAATTGAAATCCACTCATTTTTCCAAGATAAATGAGGGGTGAGTACACCATTGCAGATATGGCAACTCTAGCTGCAACTGAAATCCACTCAGTTTTCCAAGATAAATGATGGAATTACCATTGAACTACAACACAATCAGAATTTTACACAACAAAGAAAATACACAGAGGATCTTTGAACCTAGTAGCATAATTATCTAAATTACCAGCATTACGAGCGAACAAATGACCAGCCATTTCTTATGAGCAAGGAACATAATATACATCACCGTAGGTGACAAATGATTTAGAGAGAAAGTGTTTGCTGATTACCATTCCCAGCCTAGAGAGATGTTCATGAAGAGAGGCTGGCATGACTTTGCAGATGACCATCTTAGTGAAGAACCACCTCTGTGAAGCCATGATCCTCTCCAGAACAAGGCCACCATGGGCAACGTATGCTTGGCATGAATGGATTAATAGACGGCTGCGAAATGCTAAACCAGCCACTATCACCTTTATAATTGTGGAAAACAATACCAGCATCTGCACTGCCTTCAGTTTTGCACGATGCCATAAGCCATTAACATTGATCTTCGCGATCTGTCCCATATGAGACCAATAGGATACAGAATCAAACAGAGATGACAGCCGACTGAAAAGGTTGACTGCATTAATGATCACAAGAAAACGCGAAGGCAACAGTTTGATGGCTCTTTCACTGGCTTACCGTGACAAACAATTTTTGTTGCCCAATACAAGCTAACATAAAAATCCAAATAGCCTCAAGATGATGATCTAGATGAGACGATTCCATCACGAGATAAAAATGACCAAAAGCAGATGTTGCCATCAACAAAACGTAATCACCAATATCAGAAAGCAACCAAGCTGCTTTAACATGTGAGCACAACGAAAGAGGAGAAGGGACTGAGGATTAATAGTAATTCTGTTAGTGACAACCCTCCCATGAAGTTAAAATGGCAAGACAAGCCCACCCCATGAAGTTTCAATTTAGAGGTACCTATAAATGAGCTTTGTCTGGATACTGTGACGGCTTAGAGGAACGTCTTAATTTCTCATCTGCAAAGACCTCTGGCTAGCATGGCACTAGTAGCATGATAAACGCTACCAACTGAGTACATCTTTTTGGATAGAAAATCAAGTAAAGGTGAACTTCTTATCGAGTATTCTGAGTGGAATCTTGATGGTTATATCAGCGTTGTATAACCAGCTTTGTAATGGCCAAAAAACAGACAAAAGCAGATCAACGAGAAAATGAAACACACACGTGAACCCAATAACATTCATCGAGGAAATGCAACATGCATAGAATCCAGGCTATTAAAAGCAAAGTGGCACCAACAACTCAAATACAATTTTAAAATCCATGGCCAATGATGTAAACAAGTAACCCATGATAAAAGATATCGTCTTTACGAATTCACATAGTATGCTTTTGTAGTCAGACTCACTACTGGACCGAAATATATCTTAAATACCCAATAGTTATGATGTTACTATACAAATTAAAGTTGCAATGTTATCATCATTCAACAATTTTTGTATCCATAAAACTTAATACATGTATGAATTAGAGAACAGCCAAAACTATAAGTGAGCTTTGCAAAAGGGGAAATATATCTGATACTAGCTGATACTAAAATTTGGGAAGCCTGGTTGTCATGATAAAACTAGCTTCTCTTTAACCATTTGATAAAAGCCAGGTCACCAACTTGGATGGTCATATGCCAAGCCCAGGTTTTGGAATGCTCTGGCATCTCCGCTCAAAACCAGAAATTTCAACATTGCAGAATTGCATAACAATCAACATGATGATTGGAATACCAATCAGTGAAAGTGTTATGCTCAAACACAAACAAGGGACTGAAAGTATTGAAAGGCATCTGCCCTTCATAACCCAATTCAGCAGG